CAATGGTAGCTGCACGGATCTCAGGCTGCCTGGCGGACATCTCGGCATGGATGAAAGAACATCACCTACAGCTCAACCTGGCAAAGACTGAGCTTCTTGTCTTCCCTGCCACTCCAACTCTACAGCATGACTTCACCGTCCAGCTAGGTTATTCTACAATTACTCCATCGACTTCGGTCAGAAATCTTGGGGTAATCTTTGATGACCAGCTGACCTTCAAAGACCACATTGCAAAGACCGCTCGATCTTGCAGGTTTGCATTGCACAACATCAGAAAGATCAGGCCCTTCCTAACGGAGCACTCTGCACAACTTCCTGTCCAGGCCCTTGCCATCTCTAGGCTGGACTACTGCAATGCTCTTCTGGCTGGACTTCCATCATGCACAATCAAACCTCTACAAATGATTCAGAATGCAGTGGCACGACTGGTCTTCAATGAGCCCAAAAGAGCCCATGTTACACCTCTCTTTATCTCCTTGCAATGGCTACTGGTTGCGGCTCGCATCAAGTTCAAGACATTGATGCTTGCATATAGAACAGCCACAGACTCAGCACCTGCCTACTTCCACTCACTACTACGAATCTACATCCCCTCCAGAAGTCTGAGATCCACTAGTGAGCGACGCCTCGTGGTACCATCACAGAGAGGCTCAAAATCACTTTCCAGAACATTATTGTTCACCGTTCCTGGCTGGTGGAATGATCTTCCCAACCCTATCCGGAATGCTGATTCCCTGACAATTTTCAAGCGACAGCTGAAAACTCATCTCTTTCGACACTACTTGACATCATATAAACAGTTGTTAGGTTAAATAAAATAAGAAATATGTTGATTTGCAGTTGTTTTATCTTATTTTTAAATCATTTTAAGTCATCTTGAGGCTCCCTGGTTGACAACCAAAAAAAAAAAAAGGTACAAAGCTTTCACTGGGATGGGACCCTAAGGTACAAAAGCTAAAGGGTACATCTGATCTTGTATATTATTTAACCCTAGTAAATATTAGTACTAAGTGTATATTAGCACCTAAAGTGTACCTGTTAGTATCTTTTAAAAGGCTACGGCCACATTGACAGCTTTGTACCTCTGTTTCTGAGTGCTGGTTTAGATTATGGATCTCTTGCACTGCCTATGGGAGCATGTTATAAGGAAGGGAAAGGTTTTGAATTGACTCCAGTTTTGCCACACACACACGCACACGCATGCATTACCCCCGCTGTGAAAACGGCTGCATTTCCTCCCTCCAGCATCTCCTCCAGCTCCTCATCAGTTGTGGCTTTACCAGCTAGAGCGAGAAGCAGAACAAAAGCAAGTCAAAGACAGAAAAGGGGAATAGCACAGTGTCAGTTTGACAGAGTTCAACCACAAGCTTAAGAAAGAAACGTTTTGTACACAGTACACTGTTTGATAAGAGCTGTCTCATGCACTGCTGTTTAGTGAGGAGTGAGTGTGCGGGCCAAACTTACTGATCTCTAATTGTCTCTGAATGCGACCTTTGCTTTTCTCTCTGAAGTCCACCTGAGCTTCATTGTATTTGGTCATCACATCAACAAACTTCCTGGAAAGTACAGCGTGCTGGCAGGGCAACATGAGGGCAGAGTTAATAGAGCGTGTGTATTTGTGTGTGTTACGTGAGAGGGATGTTGACTCACCTGTGATTTGCGTATTCTCAAGTCAGCCGATACTCTTTCCACTTCTTCCATCTCGAGATTCCTTTCAATGGCTGTACAGACAGACACACACACACACACACACACACACACACACACACACACAGGGTAGGGTTATT